AAAAAAAAAAAAAGAATTAAAAAAGTTAGCACCATATATATGACAGAATATTTAGTTGTGGATAGAATTCACATAAAATATCAACTTTTATGATGATGCAATAACATTAATTCTTTCTTCTGGGGGCTCACCAATTATAGTAGGACATAAATCTTTATATGCATTTATTTGATGTTACCATAAATAGTAATTTGTTAAGTGCTCATGTTACTATGATATATTGTTTGTAATGAGGCTATAGCACACAGTTAAAAAATTATGATAACTCTGATAAATACCCGCCTGATAGTCAGCTTACTCATGGGAGTATTATATTGATTATAAAATGTTGACTCAAAACTCATCACAGGTCCTTTTTCTTATATGTTTATATAAATTGGTGCATACAAACATTTGCATAGTTCATTTTTAATATGTTAGCTTTCATGAAGCCTATTTTCACATGAAAAATCCTGCAATATTGTACGCATAGTTAACTATTCTGTATTCTACACTTAAAGTTTTATTAAGAGGATAGATCTCATGTTAAGAGTTCTGATTATGATAAAATATTTTTTTTTTTAAAAAGAAAATTATTTTAGACAATCTTGAAAGGTTTGGTCCTTTTGAACCAAAAGAGAGGCATACCTTAAATAGCAGTATTCCCACTGGTGGGAAAAATTAGTGGCTTTTGTTCCCCGTTAGATGTGCACAAAAGAACTGACAGTCCCAAGCAGAAAACATTGAGTCAATCTTTTTCTCTCTTGTAGCTTCAATAGTGGAACAGAAATGGTGGTGCCACATGCAACCATGTCTAGAGGGAGAGGAATGTAAAGTTCTTCCAGATCGGAAAGGATGGAGCTGTTCCTCTGGGAATAAAGTCAAAACAACTAGGGTAAGTGGACAGCCAGCTTGGGAAAACAGAATGTCTCTAAATCAATAGCGAATGGAGCATGCGCAGTAACCAATTTAAGTGGCAATTGTAGAACTAAAGAGTATCGTTTTGCAAGATATGTTTTTCCCATTTTTTCTTAGTTCATTTTTTCATAAATCATTTTTATTTCACTCAGAACGACATCTTCCATAGATTACCATCAACTGTCATATTATCTGATAAGTAAACACTGTTCCTTTATAAAATACTGAGGGTAATGTGAACCTCCTTTCCCTGCTGAGGATGCATGTTAAATTCTGGGAGGGTGACCCCAATCCTTTATTTTCCTAGTGTATAGTAATTTAAATCAATTCTGAAAAAATTACCTTATGTATTACTTTTAATACAATTTTCTAACTGAGGTTATTTTAGTTTCATGAAAGTAATTATTTTGAGCTCCCTCATTTCTGAATCATTAAATAGTTTTCTAATGGTTAAGGTTTACAATTATTGTAATGGGCTACAGAGGGTCTCAGATTCTCAGGATCAATACAAAAAGAATACACTTAAGACACTGATATATTTCTGCTTTGCAATTACTGACCTCTGGGTGATGGGAAAGAACTGAAAAATAGCTTTGTTCTTTCATTTCCTAATTAGCCACATGGGTATTGCAGACTCTCAGAATTTGAATTCTTTTCTTTATAGAATTAGCAAATGAAGGTTTTGTTTTGTTTTGCTTTTAGGATAGCATACTATTAATTAGAGTTGAATATTTGAGGAATAGGACAGAATAATGGTATAAATTGATGTTTTATAAAAAGTAACATGAAACTAGAGACTGCCTAATTTACAATACTACTTGATAGAGCAGACTTTTAAACATTGCCTGGACATAATACAAAAGGCTTATTTTATAATCTCATCTACATGTATAATTTAGTCTGCCAAGTAATGTATTTATATAATGCGTTGACTGATCAGACATACACAGAAGTCACTAAGTTTCAAATGGCATGAATAAAAACATATTTTGTGAAATTATTTTTGACTCTAACCTGTTAGCTAAGTGTCACTCCTTTCCAAAACCCACGGAATGCACAATCAATTAGTTAGGATAATTGTATTAATCAGTGAGCTAGCACATAATCTATATTAATTTGTTAAAAACATTCTGGCAATGTAAATTTTCCTCATAAGCTATTTATACCATGAAAACATTTTCCCGAGCACTATTAATTCTCAGTCCAAAGATTCTGAAACAGATTTTTAAAATTGTGAGCTCTTGACAGCCAAATTCTTTGTTTTCATTACTTCAGTGAACAAGGGGAAGCTATAATTTATTGTATACTTAAAACATATGCCATACACTGAACAAAATGCTTTACATGAATTAGCTGATTTAATCTTCCTAATAGCCCAGTGAAGAAGATAATATTATTATCTCCTTTTACAGATGAGTAAACCAAAACTTCCAAAAGTTAGATAACTTCCCAAGAACATACAGCTAATTAATTAGGAAGCCAGGTTTCAAAACACATAGTTCCATTGCAGAACCTAAACTTTTAACCTGTAGTTTGTACTAATAAATTAACTTATTCTTAAACGATAGTGGTAAAAGTTTCCTATAGTTCTTTTCTTATGAGGTTGACCTTTAAAAATATCTCTAACTTTCTGAATCATTGAAATGAAAAGGTCAAGACCATGCAATCTAAATTCTCATAGAAAAAATTTTTTTAGAAGTGCTGTTTCACTCCCTTTTGGCCTGTTGACCGTATTCTCAGTGACCCAAACTTAAAATTGAATGTCTGCTTCACAAATTCTTCCTAATGTAATGAAACACAGTGTATGAGAGACTGAGAACTCATCAATAGGGAATTATAAGACATTATCCTTTGTATCAAGGAGAGCATTTTCTATTTTTCTTTCATCTCTTTTGCCCCAAAGAATATCTGGTAAAGGAGGGCCTTATTTAAGACATTAGAGAGGGTACTCATGCAATAGTAGGTGTTTAGATTTAGTTAGTTTTAAGATCCCCTGCAGTTCTAAGAGTCTGTGATTCCCATTTTGAAAAGAAAAAATCATCATATATAGGAGGAGAGAGAAAGACTTGAAAGAAGGAGCTTCTTGAGTACAATCAAAGTAAATTCTTACCCTTTTTTTCCTGCACAAGAAAAATGTTGCTTGTAAAAATGGAGCTACTTAAACACTTTGAACCAAAGGAACACCATGGCATTCTAAATGGAAAGGCTAAAATGCGCAATTAAGTTTGGCTCACAAAACAATTGGGACAAATTTCCCTGACGCCACAAATGAAGCAAAAAGTTTTCAGGGTCATCAGGCTATGATTGCTTGGCCATCTCCACTGAAAATAGTGCAAAAAGTAGAGGAGACAAGAAAAATTCTTAAAATAGCTCTAGGCATGTGTTACTTTGCCCACAGTGGAAGTGTTGCATAGAGGAAATGTTGAATAGAACTAGATAGTGGAAGTGTTTTCACCAGGTATAAATAGCACTATTTTTGAAAACAAATTTGAGTCATTATTTTAGTCATTGATATTACTGTCCATATGCCTGTTTTCAATGAGATGGTTATGATCACCATGAGCCAAAAAGCCATGAACTCCTGATTTGGCAGGTCACAGCCACAAATGGAAAGCCCAGAAGTTACGTAGGAACAAGTTACAAAATAACTCAAGAGCTGTCTTAGCCAAAAGCTATTTGCTTTTCTTATGCAAGATATGTTGGTCTTATGGGATTATCACTGCAAGCAAAATGGCTTGAGAAATAATTAAAATTTGCAATAATGTATACTCTCCCTTATAATGGCCCATAGCCAATCTGGAGTGCTTGGGTAAGCCTGTTAGATAAATAGCAATCAGCCAGAAACAGCAATAAGCCTTACATGACCTCAGCAAAGATGAGTGGCAACTTCCCCAAATTGACTACAAATCAGGGTCTGGGTGATTTCACCATTTAAGACTAATTTGCAATCTATATTGTAGTTACTACAAATGTAAATTGTAGTCTTCTTCTGTTTTTGTATTGGATTTTGGAAGCTTTTTGGTTCTGACCCATTTCCTATTGGTGCTAACAGGGGGAAAAGGTAAAAAATAGGGAGTCATTTTTGGAACTTCAGTGTTTTGTTGCATATATGTTCTTTACGCACCCAAGCATTTAATTTGGAAAGAGTGGAAGATGCAACAGTTGTTTCCCAAACCCCCTTTCTCAGTCTAAAACTGGAAAACTTATGCCTTCTGTGACATCTATAACCATCTCTTGTATTACTTTTAAGATCTCAGTTCAACAGAAAGAAAGGAAAAGTCATACAAGCCTTTTGATTTCAAACTCACTTTCAAAGATAAATAATAAAGAACTTTGCACAGGGTCGTTAATAAAAGAATAGTCTTTCCAGTGTGAAAGAGCACATAATTATATGCTAATTATACAACACAAAAGTAACAGAGGGGCAAGGTGCTGTAGGGCTTGTAAAATATGAGAAAAGAAAATCTTCAACATGGTTGAAATCATCAGAAAAAACAGACTGTGATTCTGTGTGTGTGTGTGTTTTGATATTTTTTTCTTTGTGGAAGATCTAAAGGAGGTAATATTATGTTTTTAGAATTTGCAGTCCTTGCCCACTGGTATAGACATCAAGCTCCCATATATAGTAGTCACTGCAGTTTTTAATGTTGATTCTTACCTAAGGAAAAATAAGCTTAATTTCATATTATACATGACTTTATATTGTTGCTAGAAAGATTACCTTTATGAATCATACATCCCAGGTGCATTGAATTTTCATATGCCTAAGAAGACATTTCTGGCTGATTTTTAACTAATTGAAATTATTTCACTTTGTGCACTTATTTAAAGTGGCTTAAGCAGATAAGATCTCTGTAATTTTTAACTGTTCCTTCAAATATAAATTGATTTTAAAGGTATGCAATAATTTTATTTTGTTGTGTAATGCAATGAAAATAAAAATATATTAAGAATTTCCCATGCATAACATTCTATGTCAGTAGTATTCATATTACAATCAAAACAAAAGCAAATATAGAAACATTACTTAACTCTTACTGTATTCTGGGCACTCTGCTGAGCATTGCAGGTATTATCTTAATTTACCCAACCATAGTAGACATTAAAGAGAATATAGAGATGTATGACTTGATCCCAGCCCACAAGGAGTATGCCATTGAATGGAGGAATGAGTAGGGTGCAGTTGCATTATTCTTTTCTTTTTTTCTTCTTGTTTTGGGACAGAGTCTTACTTTGTTGCTGAGGCTGGAGTGCAGTGGCACGATCTTAGCTAACTGCAACCTCTGCCTCCTGGGTTCAAGCAGTTCTCTTGCCTTAGCCTTCCAAGTAGCTAGGATTACAGGCACGCACCACCACATCAGCTATCTTTTATTTATTTATTTTGTGTATTTTTAGTAGAGATGGGGCTTTGCTATGTTGGCCAGGCTGGTCTCTAATTCCTGGCCTCAAGTGATCTGTCCACATCGAACTCCCAAAATGCTGAGATTATAGGCGTGAGCCACCACGCCCAGCTGCATTATTCTTTTCTTTACCCATATGCAGTCTATTGACAATGAAGGTTGGAATCCATGGTGTAAATATAAGTTAAAAGTAATATTGTAACAATAACAGAATAGCATAAGAATGAGATATTGAGCTAGATTCAATTTCAAGTTTCTCTAACCAAGGTTTATTCTTTGGTTCCGTGTGCCAAGAACATTTCTAACTTCCTTTCCAGCTACATTTATATGATAGTAATAACTGGCTAATCTCAGAAGATAGATGAGTATTGAGTTTTTAATCCTTTCACTGTAAGGGAGAAAAGAAATAGCATCTTGGGATGGTTTGCTGATTAAAGCCTCATGTTGTACTCTTTGACATGCTACTGGATTTCACACCAAAGATCAGTGACTCTGCTGGGCTGGTGGATCTGAGCAGTGTCCAGGGGTGCTAATTCAGACCCAAGGAAATGATGTACACAGCAAGAGGAAAAAAGTT